AGAAACACTTATAATCTAAGGATTTCAAATTGGATTTTTTTTTGAGGGGCTATAAAAATTATTTTAAATATATTATTGATATTATTTAAAATATAATATCAATATAATTATGAAATGAAAATTTCGGATGGGATCGGTTTTTTAAAAATAAGTCTACAGCGGAGTTTTTAATCGCTACTTTTAAATATAGCGCGCTACCGCATCGTTATTTGTCAAATAAATTAGCGCGCTACCGCTATCGCTATTTGTCAAAAAAAGTAGCGCGCTATTAGCTACTATTTTTAAGCTACTTTTTATAAAAAAAATTTCGAAACAAATTTGTATTATTTTTTACTTATAACGTTATTATATAGTAAATATATAAAAACCAACATTTATAAATATTAAAATAAAGTTAGTTTTGATTATAAAAAAATTTATGTAATAAAAATGGTAATTTGTTGCATTTTATAAGTTTTTACCTTGTGTTATTTGTCCAACTCTCTGGGGTGGCACATATATATGATATCTCTGATAACTCTACTATTAGAGCATCTTTCATCACTTTAAAGTTATCTGCTATTTTATTCATGTGTCTGGCGACATGAAATTGTTGTACCAGGGGATAGAGTTTTAATCATCATGGTAAATTATGGATTGTCAACCAAGGACATTGGCTGAACTGTATCAATTATAAAATCAACAATAACTTTATCAGCCAATTTCTGAGAAATATTGGCATTTGTATTATTAATTAATTTGGTTTGAAATGAATTAGTCTTTTTGGATGTAGAGTCGCCTATACCAAAATTATTTAGATGTTTCTCCATTTCCTTAAAACTATTAGCATGAACAGTCTTATAAAATAAATACTATTAGAATTTAAAAATGACAGGTGTTTCTTGAGGTTATAACTGGATTGATTTGAGGAAATATTTTTTTTACATTTTAAACAAATAAATTTTAAGCCAGTTTTGGTTTTTATATTTATTTTAAAAAAATTTCAAATCTAGGGTCTAGGGAATGGGAAATTTGTATTATAGCTATTAAGAACATTTTCTTCTCTGTCTCCCATTTTATTAATATAATTGTCTGAATCACTTTCAACGATTTGGATATCCATAGGTGATGACATTTTAAATTATTAACACATGATTTAGGTTCATAATACAAATGAAGATATAAATTACAAATTGAAAATATATTTCTATAATTAATTATGATATTAAATTTAAATTTTCATGTTTATACTTACCTTCATTATATTTTTTAAAAGTAGCTAAGTAGATCACTACTTAGCTACTTTCAAAAAAAGTAACGCTCTAAAAAATTAAATAATTACAAAAAAAGTAGCCGCTATTAGCTATAGCTACCAAAAAAGATTGCGCGCTAAGTAGCGCGCTACTTTAACAACTCTGGTCTACAGCCAAAAATATAATTAAAAAATTAATTTTAGCAAAATGATTGTAGTAAATAAATATAAATTATATTCGTAAAACGTAAAGATTTTTGGGAATTAAATATTAATACAGCGATAGATAAAAAATTTCGCTAGGTGTACTTGTCACAGGTACGCAAAGGACTTTAGCTAAATTAACGGTTTTTGGGAGTTCTAGGCGCTTTTCCAAAAGGATAGTGCATTTTTTTCTGGTATACAGTATTTTAACCAAGTAAAATATATCATTCCTGCTCCTAATTGTTAATTCCATTTAAATCTCTACCTGGAATAAAATTCCTTTGAACTGTTTATATAGATATATTAACTTAAAGTTTTAGATAAAATTAAAGAAGTGCCTGAAAATATGTATCTCCAAAATATTCTGAAATAATAATCAGATTTCAAAATCTTTCAAAATATTTATTAATAAAAATATTAAATAACATATAATATGAACTGGGTGATTGGTAACCTATGATAAAATTTGTTTATAATCATTTTTTACGGCAAACCAGAACCATCAGATTTAATAATTTGTAAATTGGTTTCTATTTTATTTGTAATAATGTAAATTGATCGTAGATTCCTTTTTTGGGCTAAAAGAAATTCCAGAGAGTCTTTTAATTATATCCCATTCGTTATCAAAAAGCTTTAAATTTTGTTTTCCTATTTTATTTAATATAAAATATATACTTTATAGAGCCTTCATTGGCGTGAACACTTTATTAATTAAAATTCTGTGCCGAAGGATAGAATTTTAAGTTTCCAATATGAACTTGATTTGTTGGAGCCTAGCAGCTTGTATCATTGTGTAGTATTAACCGCGTCAAAGATGTAAAACGGTTCATTCGAGCATGGATCAGAATCCTCAACCGCTAAAATTTACTATATCATAAATTGTTTTCAAGCATTTATGATGATATTCACACATCACTGCTTTCATCATATTGGAGAGGGTTTTTATTTCATAGTTATTGAATCCTTTAAAATTCATGATTGGATATAGAAAGGTACGTATAGCATATTTAGTCCCACATATCAATAAAATTCATAATTGTATTAATTTTCTAATATTCAAATGTGTGATCAAAACTATTTAGGAAATATATAAATGACATTTTACGCCACACATTAAATATTGGTGGCGAGCCTATAGCACGGCTCAAATTAATCGGCAGTTTTTTCGGCGTGACAAAAATTGCGGGAGTCGGCGGCGCACAAGTCTATTAATATACTTATAATTAATAAAACTGAAAAAAAATTGTTTCATACAGATTTTATATAATTTGAAGACAGCAAGGTTTAAAAATTAAAGTATGCCATTAATTAGGTTTGGTTGTATGAGGCATCGCTCGGATGATAATCTCCCCAAAAAATTGACGCTAAAATTAAATTCTAAAAATATTATATTTCTTTCAGTCAAACATTTAATTATATATACAATTACTGATGTCATTGCTTTGTGGATCTATCTCAAGCTTCAGTCCAACCCAGTCAATCAAAAATTTATTTATTTATTCCCAGTCTCTATTTTTATTTATACTGCTGAGTGGATGCACATTAAAATTTCCATATCGAAAGTTTAGCATGTTCTATTATTGTAATAATTGTGTATTGTTTCGATATTATAGTTCAAGTTCACTTATGAACGCGACAAGAATATTCGTAATTTCGTATGATCAAAATTCAGAATAAATAAATTAAATAAATTAATTACCAAGAAACTATATACATCGTTGCAAAAAACCCAGATTAAATTAAGAGGCCAATGTTAAAAATGCGCCCTCAGAGAGAAAGAAAAGTTTTCAGCATTTTAAATGATAAAAAAATTTATTTGATTTATAAAAAATAATTCCTCGCCATTTACTTTGTATTCTCATCTCCTGTATTGATAATGATATATTTGACATGAATTTTTTTTAGTTATAATTATAGGGTTCACTTTTTGCGCATATTATTTATACACCTGCTTATTAAATGTAAGGGTGTTATAATAAAGGGTTTTTATAATATTCAGGCATGAAATTTAATATTCGTAGTTCATGAATATATATTCAATGCCAAGGTTACGTTAAGTATATATTTTTAAAAAAGGAAGATGACTGTAAGTTTGCGTTTACATGAAAAATCAATTTTTTTTGAAAAATTTTAAAAAAAATTATGCAATATTTTACAAAATATATTTGGAATTTTTCGGTTAAATTTGATCAAAATCTTTACTTCTTAGTAAATTCATCGCGGGATTTATTACATAATATATACAGCTTAGCTAGCTAGAATGAATTCATCTATTATGATAAAAACAGTTTGGAAATTAAAGACGCATCCAAACTCAAAAAAATAAATAAAAGGTAACGCATTTTAAAATTATCTGTCAAAATACGTATAAACCTTTATTATTTTTTGAGTTTAGGCTTATCCCTAAGTATTTATCAAAATAAACACGATCTAGATGATGTATAATAGAAATGTATAATTCCACCTTGTAGGATAGAGTTAGTATATAAATATTTTAGAAGATTGGGGTATACTTTTATCTGAATTATTTTCACCTAGTGTATTTTTGTTCGGGTAAAGGTAAAAATATACATAAATCATATGAATCTGAGTTTTGGCCTGCGAGACATTTGAGGTTCGACTCCGGTTCATGTATTATTTAAAAATCGGCTTCGGTTCAGAAAGGGTTTCGGAATCGGTCTACAAGGTTAAAAAAAAGTTTTTTTTAAGAGAATTCATATATTTATTGTCCTCATGACAAGCAGGGAAGACAGAGGTTAGGCAAAAAAATTGCCTATAACTCCTGAGCCTGAGCGATTTCAAATTATATTCCCCTTAAAAATAATCTACAACATCACCATAAACATAATTATTAAAATAACCAAAATCAGTGTAAAAAGATCAAAAAAAATATAGGCCAAGAAAAAAAATTCGAACTAGGCTTAAAAATGATTTTTTTAATAGCATAAAATATTTAATGTATTTGAAAATTTTTTTAAACGTATTTAAGCATAATTATATCATGGAAGAATAATTTAATCGTGATTCGTGAATGACTAAATAAATATTTAACCAGGTCTTGACCCTTGTTCAAGAATATCTGAAGAGTTAGGGTCCAGAACCCATATAATAGAGGAACTTTAGTCTGGATTAGATTCAAAAAATTGTTTGAGCCGGGGTCAGGAGGTCAGAGTTTAATCCAGAACCATTAGAAAATTTGAATTATATATGTTCAAAAAAGCTAGTTTTAAACGGCTCGATTTTTTAAAAAGGGCTAACTCAATATTTTAGTCAGAAAAAAATCGCCTAAGTGTCAAGATTTTGCAAATAGATGTCCAAACCTTCGTACCACCTATAACCCAAATCTTCCGACTTGCGTAATATTTTTCTATAAAAATATTCAGTTGGCCATTTTTAAAAATCGGCTCAAATCAAGCGGTTTAACAACACAGCACTAAAACCCTATAGATTATTCTTAATGCTTAAATAATCGTTATATATTTTTTTTAATAGAAATGGGTTAAAAATAACTGCATCAGTATTTTTTATTTACAATATGCATGCATATTTTATCATTAATACATACCTCCAAATAGTTAAAGATAGCGTCTGAAATGCCCCCTTGATAAGTTCCACAGCTTCTGCTCTGGAAAAACACTGCACTCCGTTTATATTAATGATGATATCTCCCTCTAGAAGCCTATTCATTTGAGCTGCGATACCATTTTCATTTATCTAGAAATTAAGTATAATCATAGTAAAGTATATTTATATAATTTATTTCAAAAATAGTTTGTTGATAAATTAGGAGAGGATTACTATTGAAAATACTTAAAAATGTAGATTGGGAAAGTATAAGTTTCGCCAACTTTCCTTGGCATAGTCGAGATATTAAGGGGTGAAAAGCTATGTCTGGTTAGCTAGCTGTAATCAACTACTAAGGCTAATTTACCACTGCTATTTAATTTATTATAAGCTACGGCTTAAAACACATCTATCACTTGCAAATTTATTTATTCTTGGGGAAAATGGGAAAAAATATAATTGTAGCTTCTTTTTCATGACATATCTGATATATTAGCAAGTAAAAAAACGTGGCTCTGGATAATTATCTAGTGTCGCAACCAACGTTAACGAATTTATTATAGGTTTCCTGCTTGCAAATTTATATATCAAATTTTGAATTTAGTAAATAACAATTTATTTTAAGAATTATCTGAGATGAGAAAATTGCTGCCCTTTCAAATATATTTTTTTATTAGTGAATAATTTATTATAAATAAGGGAATATTTATATTCACCCATAAAAAATATCGGCCTAAAACCAAAATAGAATTACACAAAATATAAGTATTACATGCATATAAAAAATAGTAACAAAATGAAAATACCTTCCTTCTCGATAGCAAATTATGTTATAATTGAATATATTAAAACTTCTTTTTCAGAGGTACACCATTCACTAATTTTAAATTCACGTTTTCTCCATTTATTATTATGATGTGAGTTGTTTTACCCCAACCTGCATATTAGAGAACATGCGCTTAGGCTAATTTAAAGCCATCCATTTTGGTAATTGTACATCACATCTCTACTTAAAAAATTGTAAAGCCATGCACTATATATCATTTATTAAAGAGGTATTAGAGCGTTGTCGAAGAACATAATATAGAAAATTCAGAGTTATTTTGGAAAGGTAGCATATAGCAGTATACAAACCAATAAACTGGAACAATTGCATTACACTGATTGGGAAGAAGATTTTTTCATGATAACAATTATTTTTTATACCCTTATGATTTATTAGAGCATAGAAATACTGGACTAAAAAGGATTCTGTTTGCCCATACGATAAATTTTTTAACTGCTTCTGGTTAGGGGTCCTGGTTCCTAAAATTTTAAAAAGTGGGTTCTGACTCCAGTTCACACACTTGAATCGGTTCCAAGAGTTCGAGGTTCATGTTTCAAACTCTGTTAAATCGATCAAAAAATTTTTAACAATAAATAAATCCTCCTAAAAATGAATCCCACATTTAGCAAAATATTATTAATTACTTGCAATTTTGTTTAGAGCCGATGTTTCTAGAACCGGTTCTTGGAAACTTTAAAATGAGTTTTAATTGTTCTGGTTCTTATAAATTTGAAAAAGAGGGTTCTAGTTTCTGGTCCTATATTTTTCCATGTTTCCTTCCAAGTTATAAACTCCAATTTATACAAGAACAAATCCTAAAATAATTCTCAACAATGAGGCATGAGAGATATAGATTGTATTGTTACCTTATTTGATTAGATTAATTATTTGTCGCGCAGTTTTATCAAATTGATTATTGTCGCGCATTGATTTTTTAAATTATTTATTTACTATTGTTAAAATAAAATATTTACCATTAGATAAAAAAGAATAGTACTAAATATAGCGTGCGTGAGATTTAAAATAATGCGTTTTAATTTAATATTAAATCTCGTGTGATGAGGTGTGCAATGTAATTTGAATAATATTTTAAGAAATTTTAAAATAAATATTCAATTTTTATAAATCTTCTAAAGTCCCCTAGTGATATAATGGGTAAGAGGTTATGTTAATAAACAGTATTTTCTAGGTTCGATTCTCGGAGAGCCCCATTTTTCGGGACCTTATTTATTACCGATTCAAGCTAAGTATCTCTGTGTTACGGGTAAGATATATAGCACATCGGAAGCGAGTGCATGATTTGGGGTAAGGTTGGGACTCTTTAAAAGAGTTTCATAACATTTGATCAAAGTAATATTTATCATCACTGGATAAAAACAAAACATTATAAATGTAAAAAGGTGTATATTTAGTAAATGAAAATATAATATTAAACTAACTCGTTACATCATTATGAAAATTATTAGTAAGAAAAATATTAATTTAAGCCATAGAAGAATTTTCTATAACAGATGCATGGTCAAAAAATCTATATACGGATACAATCTTTATAATGTATCATGCAAATATCATTTTTAAAAGATACATTTGGGATATAATTTGTTATTATAATTATGTAAGGTGTGTAAAATGTTAAAATAAAAATCTAATTTTAAAACTCAAATTTTAAAGTGAACCAATCTTTTTTATTCAGTTTAAATGATTATAAAATATCATTGTTAGCTTAATAAGAAAACACTAAAATTTTGATCTATGAAGCATTACCATTTATCCTACAATCCACGCTAAAAACTTTTTCTACTTGCGTACAGGTAGTGTTTTTACTTTATGAATAACATTTCTATATTAGAATAATCTTCAAATATAATAAAATTATGATGATCATTTTATTTTAAATTATTATAATTATATAGTATTGTTTTTAAAAACGTCACGATTAAGATTTTAGTCAAAATAATATTATGTAAGACTCGAAATTTGAAATTCTATCATCTATGAAATATTCAGGCTTACATAATATGATTGTATAAAATCTTAATCGGGCTTTTTTTTTAAATCGACCCAAATCGGGCCGTTTAACAACGCTATGGGTATCGAAATTTGCAACCTTATTTAAAGGATCTTTAATATAATCTAATATTAATTTTCTAGATATTTTCCTGGGATTTTTCGATCAAAATAAAATTTGTCTTGTCTTTTTTTATTTAATTGTAGAAAAATAAATATAATGTAAATGGAATAATTTAATACAAAATAAATAAAATTAAATATTTTTACAAAATAAAAGCAAAATAAAATTGTATCTAATAATATATAAAAATGTGTATAGAAACCAATACCTTTATAAAAATTTATCTGGATAAGATATACAACATTTATATACTTTAATATCTGCTATGGAACAGATGAATATTTTTTTCACGTTCGTAATTTTCACGCGAAGGCTCTAGGAAGACCTTGCAGTTCCTATTGTGCTAAAATATTATTTAAGATTATTTTTGTCTGCGAATAAAAATTTCTCCAAACTCTTATAAATGCAAATATTACAAATCAAATCATTGTCGATTTGACCACTTTTACAAATACAGTTATGTATTATACTATACTCTTATTGATCTCCTCGAAATAATGTTCATTTTTAACTCTGCGAAGATTGAAAGCGCATTCAAAATTCAATGAAACGAAATAAAGCTTAATATGTCTAGAACTTGTGTCATATTTAGAGTAAGGGTCAGCACCTTATTTTAATTTATAAATGTGATTTCATTATTAAATTATTACTTGATATTTTTAACCCCCCCCCCCCATTATTCGCAGTAAAATCATATATACACTGATGCAAAAAATATTTTAAATTCACTTTACCATATATAGCGCCTTAGATAGATATACAGAAGAATTTATTAAAAATGTAACGATTAATAAAATTTTATTACTGTCACTCTCATATCTAGCAGAGATTTCATTTTAAAATATTAATTTTTCGATCAAAAATAATTTAAACAACTTTCAAGTTAATACTATACACGGGTCAAGTTATTAATCGTATTATCTAATGCTTTCAATCAAGTGTAATAATATACGGACGAGTACAATATTGATTTTTATATAAACTACATCTGCTTGCTAGCTACATAATTAAAGAATTCTGATTGTAGATATACTTTTTACGAATAATACATAGTACATAATTATAATTAAATTCAAACATTTTAAATGTTGTCATATTATAATTAAAATAATATATATATAATTTTATGATCAAAAATAACCATACAATTAAATCAGAGATATAAAACATTTTTTAAATAATTGTTTTATATATAAAATATAAATTTTAGATAAGAATTAAAATAGAATGCCACAAAAATTAATTATTTAGTTAAATATTATAAATAAAACTAGGTAGTAAATATAATATTTATAAAATAACTCAAATATCTTCATAATCATAGGCATAAATATTATCGATGACAAAAATTTGTCATTTTTAGGTGTTTTAAATTACCTCGGGCAGATTTTTTTTTTCGGCCTGTTGTATAAATACTAATATAATTTTATAATTTGTCCATTCGTTTCTTTGTTATGTTAATTATTTGTATTGGAAAATAAAATATTTTTTTAAAAAATAATTATTTATGTCACAAGTATTTAAAGTACTTTAATAAAAAAAATAAAAAAAAATAGTTCAGATCAAAAAAACAACCGTGTTTTTATACCCTACCATGGTACATACATACAATATATAGTTCCGTTTTTTCTTTATGACACATAAAACTACGACATTTTTTTAAAAAGGCTAATTAAAATTTTATATATGGTCATTTATCATTTTGTGAAAAAAATAAATAATTTGAAAAAGAAAGTAAAAAAAATATAAAATAAAATGAAGCCTGAACAAATAGTTTTTCAAAAAAAAGGAAAAAAAATCTTATTTAAAATGTGCTTAAAATATACAAAAAAAAACACCTCCAAAATTAAAATATTTTAGACGAGCTTATGATAATTTTGATGTGTTAAGAACCTTTTATCCCTTCGCTGACACGTTAAAGTGTTAAAAGATGCTGTAAGGGGTGTTGAACAAATTGTTGTTTTTTAGTTCTAATGCCACTGCCAAATTTATTTTGTTAAACCATATTTTAATATAATAAACTAATCCATACCCAAATTTCTCTAGCTTTTTAATCTGTTAACCTAAAGAAAAAAATTCTAAAGATGGAATCGAAAGTGACCACGTGCTGAGCCTGCACGCCATTTAAAAAAGTGCTTATTTTATACATTTTATGAACCATAAGTGACAATAACTATTGAAATAAAAAAATGA